GGTTTGGTCCTAGAGCCACACCTTCTGGCTCACAGGTTTGTTGGTTGAGGGTTTGGTCCTAGAGCCACACCTTCTGGCTCACAGGTTTGTTGGTTGAGGGTTTGGTCCTAGAGCCACACCTTCTGGCTCACAGGTTTGTTGGTTGAGGGTTTGGTCCTAGAGCCACACCTTCTGGCTCACAGGTTTGTTGGTTGAGGGTTTGGTCCTAGAGCCACACCTCCTGGCTCACAGGTTTTGAGGATTATTTCTTTAAAGCTGTGTTCTCCTGTTTTACATTCATTTTTTAGTTTATTAACATTTCTATCAAATGACCAACAGAGATCACAGGCATAGTTCAATAGAATATTCCATCACTTCAGTGTTGACTTCTCGCATAGAGTCACTAAACTTGTGACAAGCCATCACAACCCATACAACAGTCGTGTACAGTGTTACTGTTACAAATGTTTTTGGTTCCTTAGAGAGTGCTTCAGATAATTGCAATGGTTATTGAATGAGATGGAAATAGTCGGCACTCATGAGATGTATTACTAGATCATTGTAGGATTTGAGAACTTAGCTTTCAATGCACGCCAATGAAAGTGGCGAGATAGTCATCAGTAGAAGGATCATAAAAAAATGTTCAAAATCTGAAAGCAAGGAATCACTGTAACTTCATCTTGGTTTTTATTGTCCTTGTCTGCCCCTGATCAACAGTTGCGTGGCAATACAATATTATTAAATTTTTTCAACCACCATGGCCTCGGGCCAAAGGACACGTGCAAAGGTGAATGCTGGGACACGTGCACAGGTGAATGCTAGGACATGTGCACAGGTGCTTGCGAGGACACAAGCCCAGGTGAATGCGGAAACAGAGTAGTGATGATTCTTTTGAAAAATAAATTAACATTTTAAAAGCATTGTACAAGTAGTTACAATTACAGACACTAATAATAATAATAAGTGTAGCATGAAAGTTTTGGAGTTTCTTTTACCATCTATTATTGCTTTTTTTATATTTACAGGCTAGCTCGGGGGAGGGGTCCTCAAAGCTTGACCTCCTGATCATGTATAGCAGGGGTCCTCAAAGCTTGACCTCCTGATCATGTATGGCAGGGGCCCTCAAAGCTTGACCTCCTGATCATGTATGGCAGGGGTCCTCAGAGCTTGACCTCCTGATCATGTATGGCAAGGGTCCTCAGAGCTTGACCTCCTGCTCATGTATGGCAGGGGTCCTCAGAGCTTGACCTCCTGATCATGTATGGCAGGGGCCCTCAGAGCTTGACCTCCTGATCATGTAT